GTTGATTTTATGAATGGTACATAGTAGTATAGTTTTAGCCTCCAATTTATGATCCAACATAGTTATATAGAACATTGATAGGAACAAAAATGATAGATGGTATCTGAGCTCAATTGACCTTGAATCATCACTTTTATAAGATCTTTAACCTCTAAAATCATTCGATATTTGCTAAAATCATAAAGCAATGTATTAAAGATAAGTCAATTAGGATGAATATTACTTTCTATAATCAACATTATTACAATTTCGGCCTATAAGTGAAAGCATTTGGTGATATTTTTTTATTAGTTAATTCTGACAATATATCTTATGATTTATAAATCAATTAGTGTCATGGCTAGCAACATTAGAGTGACAATTTATTTACGGTGGAGTCAGTCGCCAATTGATAAATTAGATCTAGGGTATTAAACGATAAAACAAATGGTATCTGAGCTCAATTGACCTTGAATCATCACTTTTATAAGATCTTTAACCTCTAAAATCATTCGATATTTGCTAAAATCATAAAGCAATGTATTAAAGATAAGTCAATTAGGATGAATATTACTTTCTATAATCAACATTATTACAATTTCGGCCTATAAGTGAAAGCATTTGGTGATATTTTTTTATTAGTTAATTCTGACAATATATCTTATGATTTATAAATCAATTAGTGTCATGGCTAGCAACATTAGAGTGACAATTTATTTACGGTGGAGTCAGTCGCCAATTGATAAATTAGATCTAGGGTATTAAACGATAAAACAAAATTATCAAGAATTATCAAATAGTCTTGAGTTTAAATATCATCTTCACTAAAATAAAATAGGTAAATTTTACAAAAAAAAACACTTTTATTCTAAAATTATATCAAAGATTTGTCAATTGACAAACCTATCACCAACCCAAATAAGTGCTGACATCTGGTTTATATGATAAAGCCATTATAATATTGAACAACTTTAGAGTCACAACTGACAGTCAAAGGGTATCTGCATGGAATGCATGATCTAATTGAGGGCACCTGATGTAAATGAGATGCAGAGTTGTTGGTGGATGGCCAAGAAGAAAATGCTTGAGTTGGAGTCCAACTTGAAGCGCCATAGTTATTCACAGGAACTGCACAATGATATAAGACATTGGTTTGTCAGAAAAGAAAAATATATAAATGGGAGTTACAATGAATCTCTTAATATGCGGCTTCTCTAATACCAAATAATTATACACAACGCATACAATAAAGTGAACAAAATAGCGTCATAGCAAGGCCAACGCAGAATTTGGCGTGCTTTGCGGATTGGTCTTTCCACGTCCATTAACCAAGTTCGGGGGTTGTAGGCGAGGGAGACGGCTGTCGAAGAAGGGGGACAGTGTAGAATCAACGGAGCGGGCAAGCGGGTCGGCAACAACGGCGATGGGTTGTGGCGGAAGAGCGCTAGACGGACGGCAGAGATGAGAGTGGGCGATGGGGCAGGCGCCTGTTGCGGCAAGAAACGAAATTCACTCTGCTCTGCAATGCAATTGATAGAAACCACGGGAGATAGGGGACAGACTGGAGAAGATTGCAGTTGCAGATTTTGGCGGATGGAGGAGAGGAAGCGGCGAATAATTTCGGGCAATTAGAAGCGACGATTTTATATGCGGGACGGGATTCATAAAAGCTGACGTGGATAGCTTAATTTTACAGGAAGGAGTACGTGGCAATGGGTTAAATCCAAAAGGCCTTTAATAATTTTATAGATAGATAGATAGATAGATAGATAGATCGAATGGCAACATCTATAAGCACATGTAAACATATAAAATGACATCATTAAATCAATATGAATGATTGAAGAACAACAAAATTCTATGAATTTATCTCAAATCCCGACGCAGAGCGCGGGCAATGAAAACTAGTATACCCTATACCCTAACCACGTACTATAAACATAAATTAAAAAGGGATCTCCTGCCGTTAAAGACTTCAAATGACTTCAAGTGAAAATATGTTAATAAAAAACTTAGAACTGTCAAAATCATCAATACCTTATACCCTAACCATATACACCCTAAACCATCTGTACCTTATACCCTATACCCTAACCATATACTTTATAGTTTATTACCCTAAACAACGAATCGTCAAAAATTACTTATCAAGTTTAGTATAATTGTTGGCTCATATTCACCTGCCCATAAATTTTCAATTCCAAAGTTCCCACCCAAACCTCCCTCTCATTTCCCATTCCAAAGTGACCCGCAAGGCCGCAACCCGATTAACCAAAATTTTAAAACTCGCAACCTTACTGAGTTATTGCAATTGTATGATTTAACATGCCAAGTTTAACTCCCATTTTGAAATAAAAGTTCACACGAACACAACTTAAATGTGCCAAAATTTTCCTATTAAGTGTTGTAAAACAACGATCACGTAGTGTTGAAGTTGCAATGAATGTAGAAGCATAGAAAACAAGTAGACAAATTAAGTGATATGTAAAACAAATGATTGTTGTAACTAATGGTTAATTTAGTTATTAGCCCATAAACAATTATATATATGTATATATATGGCAAAGGCTAGCGTACGCCCGGACGTACCCTAGTTTACCGTACGCCGGTTGAGTTTTGCTATTTAGACAATGAATTAACCGGAGTTTGGAGTATGATATTATACGCTAACCCCTAATGGGTAAACCCTAGTCCGCAATTCACTAACCCAAAGCATAATATTCATTTAATCTTGAATTGAAAATCAACGATTCTTATTTGTCGAAATTATTGTTGATTTTCATTTCAAGATTAAACGAATCTCATGATTTGGGTTAGAAAACTAGGGACTGGGGTTTATCCATTAGTGGTTAGGGTATAGTATCATGCCCAAAACTCCGGTTAATTCATGATCTAAATAGCAAAACTCAAACTGGCGTACGGTAGTCTAACGTACGCCCGAGCGTATGCTAGCCTAAACTATATATATATATATATATATATATATATATATATATTAGCCTTCAAAGCATATAAGAATAAATTTAACTAGTCATGACCTCCATATTAAAATTAAAGATTCATATTCAAAGGCTAAAATTTTGAAAAACCAAAAAGTTGAAAATACAAAATTTGTTTCCTGCTTTATTTTAAAAAAAAAAACTAAAATTTTCCTCCTTTCTCCTTCCATAAATTAGAAACACTCAATTTTCCCTCTTCTTTCTCTTCCATAAAATTGAAAGAACCAAATTTCCCTCCTCTTTCTCTTCCATAAAATTGAATAACCAAATTTCCCTTTTTCTTCCTTCCTTACACAAAAAGTTGAAAACTCAAAATTTTCCTCTTTATTTCTCTTTCATAATCAAAAGAATCAAACTTTCTCACTTTTTTCTCTTCTCATAAATCAAAATCACCAAAATTCCCCCTTGTTTCTTTTCTCAAAAATTCAAATAACCAAATTTTCCTCTTCTTTCTCTTCCCAAAAAGTTGAATACACTAAAAATTCCCTCTTCTTTTAAAAGCATCAAATTACTAAATACATTACTTTACTTTATTTATATGTAATTAATAATTTTATTGAATAGTTAAATTAACCCAAATTTTAATTTATATATTATATTAATATTGTCTATGATCTCAATTATTATTTCTTCATTATTAATATTGAAATTGTGTTGATTTTTATATTTCATATTTACTTTTTTAATTTTGTTAAAGAACTTAGTGTTCAAATGACGTTCATGTTTCAATTTTGTAATTTTCTTGAAATACACAATATCACCGGAGTTTCATATTTTCTTAAATACCCTATACGAAATGAAAAATAAATTTTACCTAAGTTTAGAATGAAAAACTTTAATTTGAAAAACTATGTATTGTATGATATAATAATTATTCAAGTGGATTAGGTGAAGTTCGGGTTGAGTCGGTCAGGTTACGGGTTAGTCGGGTTCGGATCAATCGGGTTCGGGTTAATCGAGTTCGGGTTTAATCAGGTTGCGAGTCAATCGGGTTCGGGTTAATCGGGTTGTGGGTCAGTCGGGTTGCGGGTTAGTTGGTTTGCGGGTCGATCGGGTTGCGGGTCGGGCGGGTTGTGGGTTGTTGACTTTTAGTCAATTCGGGTTGCGGGTCGGGTTAATCGGGCGGGTTAATCGGGTCGGATTCTGTTTTGACACCTATAGTCATAACCATCATTATAAACATATGATTTATGTCAAAATGATGTCAATCATCACTTATGATGTGATGAACAATAACGCACATGAATTTGCACAAAAACCATTGAAGATTTACTTTAATTTGAAGGATTTAGAGTTTAGAGATTTAGGGTTAGGGTTAGGGTTTACAATTTGGGGTTTAGGGATAGAACTCAAAATTTGAGGTCTAGGGCTTAGGGTAATCCGCTAATTAGTTGTTATCATATGTTATATCATCATATTACACTAATCTACAAATTAAAATTCAAAATCAGACACCTTAAGCGTAGTTTTTTACTTGGGTGCATTGAACGCACTCATTTTTGTGAGTGCACCTTAAGCGTAGTTTTTTACTCAGGTTGGCGTACGCTAAATGTTAGTGTTTTGGTTGACAAATTTTGACATAAGTTCTAAATGGGACGTGACAGCAACATAATTTATGATTAGAAAACCAAAGCATCAGAAGTGAGTGTGCTAAATATTGGAAATTTCCAATATAGACATACTACAAACTCTTTTATGAATCAAGAACACAAAATATTTAGAAGATTCAAAATGATTTAAACATATAAATAAGTTAATTAATATAAATTATGAAATAAATCTCTTCGGCCAACGGACCGGATAAAAAGCTAGTTTAATTTAGTTAGAATTTTATCTCTACCCCAATCAAATTAGAATCGAACAAATATCCATGATGATTGAAATTCCACCAAACACAAATAAAATACTTGGAGTTCACCCCAAGTCAAACATAGCAAAATATCCGTTTCAGAATTACATTGAACCAAAACGCAGCTGTTATAAACTAGCCCACAGACCAACCTTCTTCTCAGTTCTCAGGCACGAAGACGCGCCCACACCAGAAACATAAAGAATTCCCTTTATCATCGAAATTGGCAACTTCTTAGGTCCCACTCCCTTTTTCGTCCTTATCCATTTCAGAACATCGTCACCTCCTGCTGTGCAACGGCTCTGGTAATGCTGTGCTGTGAAGCTCGTTAGCGAACTGGAACGCGCGCAGGTTTGACAAATGGGGACGGGGACGTCCAAGGATGCCGACAGCGTGTATCACGATGAGAGCGAAAGTATGGACCAGGCCGGCGGGCAGCTGTATGTGTCGCTGAAGATGGAGAATTACAAGCTTAATGGCGAAATTATCCCTCACGTCTACGGCTCTGTCCCTCTCGTTGGCTCTTGGGATCCTTTCAAGGCTGTGAGTAGCTTTGTGGACTGTGGATCATTTAGTTTGTAATTGGTTAGGAGGTGGTTGTTCATACGTGTGTGTGTGTGTGTTGTGCTTGCAGCTATCAATGGAGCGGGAATCGGCGTCAATGTGGGAATTGAGTTTTGTTGTTCCTCCTAACCATGGTATGGAAGCTGAAAGTAGCTCTTCTACTTCCCTTTCTGTTGTTAGCTATTCCATATCAGCAGCTATGCTAGCTCGAAAAGGACTGAAAGAACTCACATTAGGTTGTGACTTGAGGGTGAGGGGAAGGAGTGGTAAAGAAGTTAGGATGTCGACTAGTTCTTAGCTTGATTGAACTCAGCATAGTTAGAGACTAGAGGAGATAGCTTTTCTTTCTATTGCTTGAGTTGAATCAGTTGACAAAAAGCTCCAACGTAATTGACTTCTTTCTTAAGCTTTGCTGTTTTGGTGGCCTGAGAAATTGCATGAAATGAGAGTGAAGTTGATCCTAAAGCTTCCTTTTGCTTTTGCATGGTTCACACTGTAATGGTACTCCTGTTAGTGTAATTGAATTTGAAATAGAAGAATCTTCGTTGGGACAGCCTTTCCAGAGTATTCACCCTTTATAGCTAGCAAATATTCCCTTGCAGTTTTTCTTCTTCTTCTTCTTCTGTGTGAACCTTTGTAGTCCTTTGGTATCAAGTGTGTTTAGTGACTTGTGTATGTTGTACTCTGTGTTCAACGCAGAAACTTTGGATTTTAAGTTCCTTCTGAAGCCAAAGTACGGCAGCACTACTTGTGTGATCGAGGAGGGGCCAAACAGGGTTCTCTCCAGGGGTGCATTGCAAGGAGAATCAAGGCTGGCTGTGTTTAGGAACGGTGAGGAAACTTTGGAATATAGAGTCTTCATAAAGGCTGATCAAGTTTCTCCATTTGATCTTGCGGCCAGTTGGAGGGCTTACCAGGAGAACCTTCGGCCTTCATCTGTTCGTGGGATCCCTGATGTTAGTATCAATTCTGCACCAATGGCTGGAGCTGAGGTCTGCTTAACTCCTCCTTAATAAAAGCTAGTGTGTTTGTCTACTTTCTATTATCTTCACTCCGTCCAAATGAAAAAGAAAAAAAAAAGGAACTTAGTGGATGAGATTCATTTGAGAACATGCAATGAATTGTGTCACTTTGACAAAAGCATGTTTATGTTTCCCCGAGCCCCACTTGAATGTGCCTAAATTTAGTAACTGACAGACCTTAGGTAATTGTTTTGGACCTTCTTCTTCATTTACCAGTTCTTTGGAACTTCCTCTATATAAGAATTTGGTCCATCAGGCTACGGTGTAGCACTTTAGGACATACCACTCTTCTGCAATATTTGAGTCTTGAAAAGTTGTTTTCAATTATTTGTTTATTGCAAAAAACTTGTTAGCATTTGGTTAAGATCTTAACTAACTCCGTACATTAGCTAAAGTAAAGGTCATTGGATCTGTCTCCAGAATGGATCTTCTGCCAGTTTGGAGCTCGATCTTGAACACTATCTTGTCCCGGCTCCATCAACTTCTGCAAACTCAGGAATGGTGTATGCCGCTAACAATGCAGAGAATCCAAGGTTTACAATGACGGATGCAGCATGGTATAATTCCTATTCATTCAAGGATGCCAGTATTCCTTCTGATCAGCCACCAACCTTTAAGGTTAATGTTCGTAACCCTCTTTGAAATTCATACATTTGTGTCTCACTTCTCTTACTAGTACTGGTTTCTGCCTACTGGTGAAGCCTCTTCATTGGGAGTATCACGCTATTGAGACTTGCTAAGCCTTTTGTGGGTTTCTGTTGTCTTTCTCTCATATTCTTGTTCTCTAGCTATTTACATAAAAAGCTTGGCTAATCTTTTGTAGGGCATTGAGGTTGTCATCCCAGATCCCTCCAAAGTATATCTTGGTACTGGAACCGTCGAATCAAAGTCGCTGGGGTATTTTTCGCCTCTGCAAAGACAAGATAGTCACAGGGGGCTTTTTGTGGATAGGGGTGTTGGATCTCCTAGACTGCTTAAATCACCAAGTTCAAATACATTCACATTTGATCTTAAACAGGAGGCAGCGACCAAGGTTTGCATCAAGTACCAATGCATTCTTTGTAGTGGCCAGAATGCCGAAAGTTTTAGGCAGGTTTTGAGTTTGTGCCTTATACTGTCAGAATTTGATGCCAGCAGCTGCTGGAGCTGTTGCTGCTGGAGCTGTAGCTGATCAGATGCTTGGTCCGAAGGAAGACAGACATTTGGCGATAGTACTGGTATTAACTGACATAAGCATTATTTAGAACTATAGATTTCCAGATGCTCTCATTTCCAGTTTGATTTTAGTTTTGGGAACAAGATCATCAAGGTCTTTATCATATGAAGAACCTTAAAACAGGTCTTTCAATTTTGCTAAACATCTTGTTCGGCCTCGTAAATGTGCTAGTTCTTAAGATAATCATTGAGAATTCTTACCGATGAATTCTCTACAATTTCATTACTTTAGGTTGGTCTTCCTGCTCGGGGAAAGACCTTTACTGCAGCTAAACTCACTCGCTATCTTCGCTGGTTGGGTCATAACACCAAACATTTTAATGTTGGGAAGGTTGGTTTTATTTATTTAAGCAATACGTTTCTTTCTTTTAATTTGAACATAAATATTTATTTTTCTATTTGGTTTTGACAGTATCGACGCCTTAAGCATGGCACTAACCAGGTATATTTATGTCCTCTGCTCAATCGTTCTCCAACGTTTCCGTTTTGTACAGAAATGAAAATGGTTGAAAACTAAGTGATCTGAACTTCTTTTTATTTTTGTTATGTAAGTATTTGTACTTTGTCTCAACTCTCAACTAAGGAGGATTTGGCACAAGATCAGAAACTAGCACGTCCATGTTCTCTCAGTCTGTGCTAGCTTCTTTTTGTCTGGACATTTGTATCTTGATGTGGGTTGCCGTTGCATGTGGCCTGCGCTTGGTTATTACTGTAAAAGGACTCTTCTTGCTTTTCTCTTCAAGACATATATATGTTTCAGCTTGTTCAGTTGGATACCTAAAATGATTGTTTGATATACAAATCTAGGTTAGTAAGGTAGTTGGAGAGTTTATTAAAATGGCAATGTTTGGACAAATTTTATTTTTTAGTCAGCTACTGATGTTCTGTTTTTCGTCCTTTGCCGGAATATTCCGATATTGTAATCAAATGTTCTTCGACGCTCTTTGCTGATGCAGAATGCTGATTTTTTCCGAGGCGACAATCCTGAAGGCGTGGAAGCACGTAATGAGGTAACTGTCTATAATCCTATTTGTTTGTAGGTTTCTTAGATAGATTTCTTGCGGCCTAGAATAAAAGATCGTGTACTTCTTGGAGCTTAGCAAAGTATAATACAACGCGCCCTAGGTTCACAACGTAGGTCAAATCTTCACCTTTCAAGGACTGTAAACAAAACATCATATTTGGTTACTTTCTCGATATGCTGGACTTGCTGAAGTGACAAATTATATGCAAGCAATTGATGACTAATTTACACGGACAGTTTCAGTATTTGAGTCTTCCTTGCTGTTCCTTAGAATGATGGAAGTAGTTTGCACTCAGCATAACTAAATATGCATGAAACTCGGCCGTTTCAGCTGGTTAACTGATCAACATTATCTGTGCATTTGGTATCCCCACAATTTTGAGCTATGAAAAGGATTCTTGCATTCTTGAAACAGTGAAGAGCGTTAGTGCTTGGATGAAAATGCTTTTCAGCTGTCCATTCAACCTAAGCCTTTTACTATTGAGTTCTATTCTTCCTTAATGAATTGGCTGTTGCAATACCATATTAACCGTCTGCTTTCTACATAGTTTAATTGTATCATGTGCCACTAGGTAGCATCACTTGCAATGGAAGACATGATTGCTTGGATGCAAGAGGGTGGGCAGGTATGTTAACTTGTTTCAGATTATAAGATAAGTTCTTTGGCTTTTACTGTGTCATAATCGGTCACTTTTTCCCACACATGTAGGTAGGAATATTTGATGCCACAAACAGTACCAGGGAAAGAAGGAATATGCTGATGAAAATGGCTGAAGGAAATTGCAAGGTAGAATGAAATGATCACATGATGATTAAGCTAGGATTGTTACAGAAAAAATGCATATGAGCATGCTTATTATTTCTCCTTGTCATGTTGTAACCGTTAATTACTATTTAATGGTATTGTTTGGATCATCAGGACATCCTAATTACTTGAAATTAATTGATTATCTTCTTTACATGTTTTTTTTTCTTTTTCCTCTCACTGCAGATGATATTTTTGGAAACTTTATGCAATGATAAACGCATTATTGAGAGGAACATTCGTCTTAAAATCCAGCAAAGCCCGGATTACGCTGAACAGTACGTGAAACTGAAATTATTGGCATAATATCTCTGCCAAGAATAAACAATCTAACTGGTACGATTTGGCAGGCCTGATTTTGAAGCTGGATATGAAGACTTCAAAAGTCGGCTAGATAATTATGAAAAGGTGGTTTTTGGCTGCTAATTGCACATACTTCTGCCTTACTGTTTAGATTTTTCTACAAAAGTCATTATAAATGTTTTTTTTTTCATTGGTAGGTCTACGAACCCGTCGAAGAAGGCTCTTACATTAAAATGATAGACATGGTCAGTGGTAATGGTGGGCAAATTCAGGTATGCTTTCCTCATTTGCTAGATCTCCTGGCCGGAAAATCATAAGCTGCTCATTTCCCTAAATTTTCAATCTTTATGTTGATGTTAAGCACAATTAGTGCACCTTGGCATTCCCCAAAATGGATTTCAAAGACAAACTGATCTTATTCCGGGTTTATCTTACTTATTTCCCTTGTTCAATACTTGAATGCTTATGAATAGAACTATTGAAGACTTAATTGAGAATCACAAGATGTAGATTGACAAGAACAGACCATCTTGACGTTGGAGGCAGCTCATTGGACTTGCTATAGTTTGACTATCATTTGCTTAATTAATGTGTAGGAGAAACACAACTTCGCAAAAGGTCTACCGCCTTCATGGTCTCTGCATGCCGTCTTCTGATAATTATTTTCCACATATAGGTTGCAGTAATTGCTTAAACATTCTTATTTCGTGTTTAATTGTTAGATGATTGTGCATTTAGTATGCTAAAGTTGACACACGCTTCTTTTCATCATTTGATAGTAGCTATTCACAGCCATAACTAATATGTTTAGAACTTTTGTGGTTTCTTTTTTATTGATTGAGATTCACTCATCAGCCTTGTGTTCCAGGTGAACAATATAAGTGGCTACCTTCCTGGGCGCATTGTTTTCTTCCTGGTACGTTGTTATGCTTTTGTGAAGATGGAGAGCAGTTGTCTTACTATGTTACTTAATCAGGCATGATAATGGCTAAGAAATATTCATCCTACATGATTATTGTGTTGTCTGTATTATTGTCATAAGGATATTACAGTCTCGGTTCAAATAATCTTTTACAGGTGAATACACATCTCACGCCTCGTCCAATCTTACTTACTAGGCATGGAGAAAGCCGACACAATCTTAGAGGCAGAATTGGAGGTGATTCCTTATTGAGGTATCCTATCTTGTCCATTCTTTATCTTCATTTGTGATTTCTCTTTTCAGCTTTTGTCCCAGTTCCATGCATCCCTATCCCTGGAGGAAATTATACTTTAGCTATTGATGTTCTTAGTGACCAGAATTTACTTGACCTTCCTCTCTTGCAGTGATACTGGAGAAATATATGCCAAGAAGCTTTCAAACTTCGTTGAGAAGCGACTGAAATCTGAGAAAGCGGCTTCTGTAAGCTTACTGATATCACCATTAACCTATTTTTGGGTGAAATGTGCTCCGAATTGTGGAATGATTGGCTATGATGTCATCGTGTCACATGTAAAAAGATTTGAGAAATTTAACGATTAATTGCTAACTTGCACGCTTAACTGTGATCTAGATTTGGACTAGCACACTGCAGAGGACAATCCAAACAGCAGGTCCAATTGTTGACTTTCCCAAGGTATACAAGAAAATCAAAAGCATTGTATTCTAATGCTAATTTCATAGAATCATATAATTTCACTTTTTGTTCACCTAGATCCAATGGCGGGCACTCGATGAGATAAATGCTGGAGTTTGTGATGGAATGACCTACGAGGAAATAAAGAGGAACATGCCAGAGGAGTATGAGTAAGTTCATTAATTCAACATTCTCTAACGTTCTAACTTGAAAGATCTGGATGCCTATGGCTTTCCTACCCATTAAGACTTCTCTTATTATGTATCTCTATATATCAGGTCCCGAAAGAATGATAAGCTGAGGTACAGGTATCCGCGTGGAGAATCCTATCTAGACGTCATTCAGAGGTTTGTGTTCTGACCGTTGTTACTTCCAAGCACTATTTACTCACTTTTGGTTGAAAACATTGAAATTACCATCCACTCTGACTATACCACAGGCTGGAGCCAGTGATCATTGAACTCGAGAGACAAAGGGCACCTGTTGTGGTCATCTCTCACCAGGTTATGCATCTGAAACTTTCAGACACTAGTTTGTCTTGGTGACTAGGTTTTGAACAATAAAGTTCGGTTCTTTATATTTGCAGGCGGTATTGAGGGCTCTGTATGCTTATTTTGCTGATAGGCCTTTGAAAGAAATACCACATATCGAGGTAATCTATCGTATACGATAAGTAGTCAGAGAACAATATTTCTTGTTCTTTTGATCAAAGTCAACGTGGCTTTCGCATAGTTTGTTGTTAAGCTGTCTTAACCTTCCGGGCTGATGACTGTTGGATGTTTCAGATGCCACTGCACACGATCATCGAGATACAGATGGGAGTTACTGGTGTGCAAGAGAAAAGATACAAACTCATGGACTGAAAATGGTGTTTGTAGCCTAGAAACACGAAACTGGTAACCCTGTTACTGTAAATTTTCTTTCATGTTGAGACTGAAACACGATCATCGGTACGATGATATCATGGGGGAAAAAGGGGTAAAAATGCATCAAATGTATGATAGAATTAGGAAAATCGCTGGCGTAGCGACCCTTGGATGAAGAAAGACCTAAATAAAGAAGATCAAGAATAAATGAAGAAGGCTAGTTAGTTGGCTGAGGTTTGTTTCATGGGTTCACGGTCCCCAAATACATCTCAGCCAAACACAAACCTTTACCAAACGTCATTGTTTCACTTCAGACAATGTAGTTTCACCGCAAACCCATTGTCCATGAAGCACCAACAGACCAACTGCTGCTGGTGCTCTGTGGATGACAAATTCGCAATGAAACGATGTTGTTTGAGGTGAAACAATTATGTTTGGTAAAGGTTTGTATTTGGCTGGATGGGGTTGGCTGAACCCTCATCCAACGAACCAACCTCCATTGATTCTTGATAGTATTCCTTGCTTTCTTTTTTAGCTCGATAATCCGAGTCAACTGTTTAGATCAATGTTTTGATATTGTTATCCAACGACTTAAAGCGTGTAAGTGGACAATCAAACATTGTATAAGCAAGCCATAAACAGATAGCAGAGTTGTGCACCAGTTTGACGCATGAAATGGCAGATAACCTTTTCGGCTGCTGCTGATCATAACTGAGTGTAGAATGTGATTCTGAATTTCTGAGCAGGATCTTTTATGCGTTAATTGGTTTGTCAGATCAGTATATTCTTTCTATTCTCATAATTTCTTGATTCTGTTTAATCTTACCAATATTTGGGGAAGATGGTGTTCAAATGCGAATTATATGTTTTATAATTTAGGCAAAATACACTTGTATAGCCATAACTTTCACGTTTGTGACAAATATAGCCAAAATTATTCGAAAACCAAAAATAGCCAATTCCGTCTATCTCTTTAACGGTGTTACTTAACAATCTGACTGTACTGACGGAATATGCTGAGTTGGCGATTTATGATCCCCACCAAGCCGATGTGGATTAAAAAAAATTAAAATATAAAAAATCATTATTTATCTAATAATTTAGTTTAAAAACAAAAAAAAAAAAATTCCAACCTTATACCCACCGCCCATCTTTCTCCCATCTTCCTCCAACTGTACATCTTCCCCAATTCAACCAAGATCCTCCCCTGTTCTCACCTTCCTCTCTCCCTCTCTCTTCTTTCCTCTTCCGCTACGAACAACACCTCCCCTCTCTTCTCAATTCCAGATCATCGCTTCCCCCCACAAACTCAATCCACACCGCCGACAGACAAAGAAGGCGGCTATTGAAACCCAAACTCGACGCCGCCTCCGCGCCCAGACCCAAGTCCGAGTTCCCGGGAACAGATTCATCAAACTCTTCCCCGGCGATTGAAACCCAAACTCGACGCCGCCTCCGCGCCCAGACCCAAGAACCCCTACCCTCCCTATGTATTCAAAAACACCAACCAACAACTACAACAAGGAGTCGAGAGATTCTCCACCGCCACCAGCGAGAACCTTTCAATCGGCGACGTGGTGAGGAACGCCACCAGCGAGAAAATTTCAATCGGCGAAGAAACGCCTTCAATCGGCGACCGGGCACTTCCAAACGACGACAAGAAGCCTCCAATCGGCGGCGGGCAGCACTTCGATATCCAGAGGCAAAGAGCAGCAACCTGCTTGTTTCTTTTCCCTCGACCTACCACTCCAAATCCTCCATCCCCACTGCTCCTTCTTGCAGCTAATATTGTTTCCTCGAGATTCGCCCAATCAGTTCATCTACAGAGGGCTGGTCGGTGGTGAGAAACGAAACGGATTTCATCAAACCAGGACGAAGAACCCGATCTGGAACTGAGCCGAAATTGCAGGGATTGTCGCCGCTCCGGTGGCGAGAGGATCTCGATGAAGTGCGATTGGAAAAGAAGACGCCCTCTCGGTCCTCTTGATGGGGATGAGGTGCGATTCGAAGGGAGAAGGATCTGGAAGGTGGGGAGGTATTGTTGAGATGGGCATGGCCACAAGGGAAGCGGTTCCAGAGAGGGCGAAGGTGAGATTGGAATTTGTGAGGAAGGGGAAGGAAATTTTTGGGTAGTGTTTATGGTGGTGACGCGGGAGATTCGTAGTTACGGTGACCGCGGCGGCGGCCATGGATGGGAGGAAGGAACAGAGGTGGGAGGAAGGAGAAGGGGATGGTGGCGGTGAAGGTGAAGGGGAAGGGGAAGGGTTAGGGTTTTTTGGTTTCTTTTATGATTAAATATTAAATGTATTTTTTATTCATATTATTTTTTTATTTTTATTATATATTATCATATATAATCTACATGTCACTTTATGCTGATTTGTCGATGACGTGTACGCTGATTTGGCGTCCTAATCAGCAAATCACTAACAAAATTGACGGCGTCACTAACACCGTTAAAGTTTATAACGGAAATGGCTAGATTTGTCACACTACCCTCCAATTTCCTGGCTATTTTGGGTTTTCGAATAGTTCTGGCTATATTTGTCAAAAACGTGAAACTTATGGCTATACAAGTGTATTTTGCCTATAATTTACCATGCAGTCTCATGAGATAAAAAATTTGGTTAGGGATGAGTATTAGGCGGGCCATCGTTCGAACCGATCTAAATACACCCAGTAAAGTTCGACTCAACGACACATGTTTGACAACTTACAAAACTATCTAAAAGAATGGTAAGAGTGTAAGATCATTTTTATCCCTAAAATTAATTTGCAGGGTTAATTGTATCGTTGGTCATTGAAATTACAAAAAGCGTCTATGTTTGGTCACTCAAAATATTTAAATCCATTTGTGGTTACTAACTTTACAAAAACTGTTCATTTATGGTAACTCTCCGTTAGCTGCCGTCCAACGCCGTTAACGGCAGACGTTAAGTGATGACGTGGCTGACGGATTTGCCTAATCAGCACTTTTTAACCCCAAAATTGACTGACCCGACCCGCCACGTCATTTAAACCCGCCATGTCAGCTAAACCTAACCAAACCTCTACCCAAACCAGACCAGACCCGCTAACTAAAACAGAACTGACCCGACCCACCAATTAATCTACCCAGCTTTGACTAAAACCCTAATCGAAGACAAATCCATCCGCCTCCATCTCGCGCCGCCTTCCTCCCTTCCGTTTTTCTTCCTCTCCAACTCTGATCGCGAATTCGCAGGCGACGAAGGAGGAATGGAGGTCGCTCAGAACATGGCTGACACTAATGAAATCAGCTCAGAACTAGGGATGGCAATGGGTAGGGTCGGGTGCGGGTTTACCCTATACCAACTCCTAACCCGCCGGGTAGAGCCTTCTAAAATACCCGACCAAATAACCACCGGGTATGAAAATTATATAACCATACCCTACCCACCGGGTAACCACGGGTATTCGGGTAACCATGGGTACGAATCCTAAACTATGAACTTATACACATATATGCACATACATATTGTTGTCGATTAAAAAATCTTAATACTTCTAATTGTTCTAGCTTCAACAATCCACACAAATAAAAACAACAAAAACATAATAATTGTTCTTGCTTCTACAATCCACACAAACATAATAATCGTCTACATCTTCATCATCAATAATGGTAGCTAAACTAAATTTCTCAAGGGAAATTAACCCTTTGGTTAGCGGGGCGGGTATAACGGGGCGGGTATTATCGATTACCATACCCGTACCCTACCCTTTATTTTGAAACCGGGTATTACCCGTACCCACCCCTTAACCCGTCAAACCGGGTAATTATCCTCGTTGACCGGTTACGGTCGGGTAGGGTACCCATGGTTACGGGTTGGATTGACATCCCTACTCAGAACATCAACGATTTGGCCTGCCTGGATTCTGATTCCACCCGACGGAGGAAGAGCTGGTCGAATTCTACCTCAAGAACATGATCTTCGGCAAGAAGCTCATCAGCCTCGACGTCATCGGCTACCTCAACATCTACCGCTACGATCCCAGGGAGCTTCCCAGTACGTGTTTTCTTTCATTAATTAATTCCCCTGTTTTTCCGATGAACTACTTAAACCCAATTTGCATGTCGTGAAACTGATGTTGTCTGTTTTTGCGTTTGGTAGGATTGGCGAAGACAGATGGAGAAAGAGAGTGGTACTTCTACGTGCCGAGGGACAGGAAGCACGGGGGAAGCAACGGGCGGCCGAACCGGACGACGGAGAAAGGGTTCTGGAAGGAGACCAGGTCGGACCAGAAGATATGGCGGCTGTCGGAGCCCGAGAGGCAGATTGGGCTGAGGAAGACTCTGGTTTTCTACCAAGGGAGAGCTCCGAGAGGGACAAAGACCGATTGGGTCATGAATGAGTACCGCCTCCCTGACTCTTCCTCTCTTCCCTGATTTCTTCCCCTCTGGCCAAGACATACGGAAGGTAGGAACCAATCACTCTCTCCTTCAATTTCTTGGGGAAGGTGAGGTGGAAGGATTTCTCGTCCCTGGTTGGACCGTTGCTGCTGCGAACGCAGATGTATTTCCATCGAACATCGAAACCGTCGTAGCGGTCGACGATCTCCTCGTCGTTGAGGAGGGAGAGGGTGAATTCCTTCTGCTTGTGGGTTTTGCGGATCTTGAGGCGGCCGACGGCGGGGCCGATTTTGGTTCGGAGGTAGATCTCGGTTGCGTCGTAGAGCTCGTCGCGGATGAAGCCATTTTCTTCGACGACGAGGGTTAGGGTATTGGAGAAGCGGGAGGAGAGGAAGCGAGAGGCGAAGGAGAGGACTGGATTAAGGACCTCGTGAGGGATGAGACTGTGGGCGACGGACCGGATTAGCATTGTGTAGGCGACGGGATAGGATAGAATAACAACACCCTATCTGTTGTTACCGTAACAACATAATTCATTAAGGGCAAAATTGGAAATTGGTATATAAAAGCCACAGTTTGGGTACTGTTCATTAGTGGCCCACACGTTTCCCGTTTGCGAGTGGGCTTCTTCCATTCGTTTACTCCTCATTAGGCCACGTTGGTCTCTTTCCTTACTCACACTAACACTTCGAACACCTCAATACCCAACGCGCCATGTCGAACCAGAGGTCCTTGGTTTTGCCCATCGGACAACCGGGTTCCTCCGCTGACCTGCCTGCCGTTCGCTTCTCCTCTCTGACAAGCAGAGACTCTTCCTTTCGTACCGTCTCCTCAACATCGGCACAGGCGCACGCAACCCCTGGTCATACGGCGATGCACGCCACCCAGAACGCCCCAGCTCCCAATTCCTCCTCGGAAATCGCTATGGGTCATTCGTGCTTCTTTGCTTGGGAGACTCCTTTTCACACACACAGCCCATCCCTCCCACAACTTTTACTCCCAAACCCCAAAGTTGTTCGGCGGAATTCAAGCTCCAGCCGAGTCCCGAACTCCCAGGTACGCTGCTGCGATACTTCCCAGTTGAATACCACTTTCCAATCTTACCTCTCTAACCCTAGATCTCGAATTCGCAGCGATGCCCCGCAAAGCTACACGGCGACCAGACCATGCCGGCGCTCAAGCGGCTACAGGAGTGGCAGAAACGCCGCCGTCTACGCCGAGAACTGCCCGCCGGCCAAAGCATCGCGGTGCTGCGTCGACTTCCAAGACTCCTGCGCCCGTAGAACGCCGCAATCACGCCCCGCCTCCTGCTGCACAAGAAACTCAGCCGACGCCGCAATGGAACGGTTACAAGCTGCTTCTTGAACTCAGAGACTCTGATAGGGCAGCTCAACTAAAGCTCCGCCTCTTGCACGCATGGAACTCCTATGCGCCTTCTGACCCATCAAAGATTTTCAACTACTGTACACTGTGGTGCGACGAAGTGGTGAGCTCACCATCCCATTAACCTACTTTACGCTACACTTGCCCCCACTTTTACAAAAACTTTTGCCATCTTACAGGGAACTTTGATCCAAGGCCAGGCCCAGCCTTCTCTTGCCGGCCATTTCGGTGACTTGCTCAGAGTTGGCAGGATCTACATGATTTGGGGATTCGACCTGCAACCGCCGCGAAACGTCTACAGACCATGTTCCCATCGTCTCAATATCCTGCTCTCACGAAACACTTCGTTTGATGACCAGACAGAGTCCTGTCCGGAATTCCTGTCTGACTCCTTCGAGTTTGTTCCTTTCAACTCCCTCCACCCACGGACACTCACCTCTGCCCAGCTCACAGGTTATTCTCCATTGGCGCCTCTTTATTCTGTACAACTCCGACCGTTCTCATAATAGCTTTACTACAGATGTCATCGGAAGGGTCGTTAGCATTTCAGGAGTCACCTACTCAAGCACCAACCACGGCAGAACAACACGCCAAAACATCGTGCTCGAGAATGCAAGGTAACCTGTTCTTGCATCTGCCCGATTACCCTTTGCTTGCTCAAATTTTTACTCCTGTCCGTTACTACTACTCTCAACGTTGCCTGTGTTGCCTGCCAAGCTCAGGCTACAAGCCCTTCGATAGTTGTTTGTACTACTTTACTGGTCCGAGAGACCTTTAGATTTATGTCCGTTGTGCCACAAACCTTGCTTGACCATCAGTTGCCGTTCTGTTACTGTTAATACCACCATTTTTCACTTTTAATTGTGGTGCTCTTATTGACCTTTGTTGTCTCCTGAGTTTTACTTCTTATGAATGCATCAGAAGACCGCACACAATTTTAAAGATGTTTATCCTTTTTACATGATTGGTTTACAGTGAACTTGCCCACTTTGATTCTGCTCCTTGCCTTCTGCTTACAGTACATGTACTGGTCCTTTCCATCTATGTAACCCTGTGTATGTGCTGCTCAATTTATAAAACTACTACACCGCTTCACAATGCACTTTACTTACGACATGTTCCTTTTTCAACTCCTGCACATGGAAAACACCTCCTTGCTCCTTGCCTTTGCATTCTCATATGAATTCCTAAGTCCACGTTTATTGTTTCCCTACTCCGCAGCTTAATGGAAATCAACGTCGCACTTTGGGGCCCCATGGCAGGCTCCATCGATGCTCTGCATGTAACACAGCTCGGCCGCAAGGGTCCTGTGGTTCTGGCGATCACTGCCCTGACTGTCAGCCAGTTCAGGGGTATATCTTTCACCTGCATAGCTGCTACTCCTACTTCGACAATGTACACCTCTCTACAACTTTAAGCATCCTAACTCGCTGCATTCACTGTTTTTTTAGATAAGTTTTCGCTGTCCAGCACTTCTGCAACTAGGCACACTATTGAACCTCCCTCAGAAATGACTTATGACCTGCAAAACACGTATGCCTCTGCCAACTCCACCCTTACAACAAACCTTTTACTCATTGCATTGCTGAATTTACTCATTGCATTGCTCACTGTTGCTCGCTTACACAGTTTCCATGCATTGAGGGACTCGGTCACCTACATACCTCCTCGCTTTCCCACTTCCTTAGCAGCAGTGGAATTTGAGGAGCAAGTCACTCGCACAGTCTCACAACTTCTGCATATCGCTGAACTTGGCCAGCCAGATGTGCTTCACTACCTACACTTATAATTTTGTTGTAGTCTCTATTTCACACAATACAACACACTTACTTCATGCCTTTTGCCCACATGCACACAGGAGACTCAGTACCATTGTACTGCTACTATTGTTGGAGTTGAATCTAACAAACAGTGGTACTACATTGCCTGCTCCTTCTGCTCTTCTGCAACCGTGCCGTATGACTCGGGTTACTGGTGTAAGCATCACCGCAGGCTGGATCCATTGGAGGTCACATACCGGTAATCCCCGAAAACAAATACACAAAGTCTGTTTACTTGCTCTTTACTTTATCGAACATTGCTTTAACCTTTTTGCCCACAGCTACAAGGTTAGAATTCTGGTCGACGACTCAACCTCTACGGGTACCTTCATCCTGTTTGGAAAGACGGCTGAAACTCTTTTTGGCGCCACTGCCCTTGACCTAGCTGAGCGCTTCCCATTTGATCGGTCAGAGATCCCACCAAGCATTTTGGCAGTACAGGACCAGCGCTTCGCCTTTGATGTCCAGCTCCCAGATGAAGACTATCTTGGGAGAGGTCCACCTGAATTCCGAGTTGTTCGATGCTCAATTGTTGACTCCACCGCTCCAGCTCTGGCATACAAACCATTTTCATCGCCAGTGCACCACCTCACTTCCTCTCCCAGACAAGCTTCCTCCTCTCACCGGTGGGTTTCGAAATTACAAAATAGTCAATTAATGAGATTAGAATTACAACTCTCAATTGCCTTATTCAATATGTTTTTTTACAGGTCCCTCACGGTGGCCTCGCCGACCAACCTTGCACGCACACGGTAGTACTTCTCACGGTTACTCACTTCACTTTGAATTCGACAGCACTGCCTAATTTAACTCATTTCCCATCTACTCATGACTTTTGCAGGGGCCTTGCTCAACACCCTACTCTACCACCTCCACCACTATCTTCACCACAAACACCTTCATCGGCTGCAACCCCACGGTGCCTGCCCTTTATTTTCTTACTTTTTACATTTATAGTCACTTCTACACTGCCTTGCCTCTTACTCACACTTTTTACTATACGAACTCATCCAGCTCCACCGTGCTACACCACAATTCACCAATCCCGCCAACAACTGCTGGAGCCAATAACTCAACTGTTGCGCGCTTAAGGTTAGCTTCCACACTTGCAAATGCCGTTTAAACTCTGATTTGTATGCTCAACTATCTACTCAAATCGTATTGCAGAATGCTGGCAAAGGGCAAGTCCCTAGCGGTGCCCGAACCTTCCGTGAATGCCGCCTGGAACTCACCTTCACATGCCCATCACAGGCACTCTTTTCGTTTGAAAGCTATGCAATTACTCTTACTTTGGTTCCTCAGAACAATACGTTGTTACTGACTTACTATTTAAAACTCAGGTACAGTTCACCACCTTCAACCCAGCCAAACCCAACTACCATGCCGCAGAGTATATCAGTCGATGATTGGGATTCAGAAGATGATGTTGACAACAATGCCAATCCAGTTCAGCATGTTGCGCCGGGAAATTCACCACACACAGATCCCACAATTCAACCAGAACAACAAACCTCGCATGACAGGTCTGCGGATTTCCTCGGCTCCATGAAAAATGCTTCTCCACTTTGCTGCCATGTTCCAAATTACACTGCAACCTGTATATCGGTACACTAACTTACAAAGCCTAATTCGCAGGGTGTTTCTTCCTGAAAAGCCACGTAGGCGCCTCAAATGCAAAGGCCATAACATTGCCCTAACGTCTCCTCCGAGGTGCCCACTTCTGCCTTAACCTATTGAGAATTTTACTATGTACATTGCTGCAAATTTCCGAACTATTGACATGCGCACCGGCAGCAGGTCCCCAATGGCACAGGAAGATACTTACTCAAGCGA